ATTCCACTTGAGGCAGCAAACTCAGGGTCCCTCTCACATACCTATAGCTGAGAGAAGCCTCCTCTTGAGATGCTTGTGAAAAGTTGGCATTCTCTTGAGTCGAAGCCAAGGAATCAGAGCTCATCTAGAGATGATTTGTGGTATACGGAGCTTTTCTCAATTTGCTGTGCTGAACTTGGTGTTCCTCGAGACTTGGGCCGGTGTTCTCGGGGAATCTCTGGAGTTGCCTAAAGGAAGTCAAGCCACTTGTCGTGTTTGATGGGGAATGCAGGATGGCTCTGGAGCCAATGCAGGGGAGTCGGGCCACATCTTGTGATGATTTGGGGTACACGGAGCTCTCTCTGTTTGCGGCAATGACCTCGGGGTTCCTCTAGATTTGTGACGGTGTTCCCGAGGACTCTCTGGAGTTCCATAAAGGAAGTCAAGCCTTCTTTCCTGTTTGATGTGGAACACTGAAATGCTCTGGGAGCAATGCAGTGGAATCGGGCCTCATCTCGCGGTGAGGGGGGAAATCTCATGGTTTTTCTCGAGTTGTGGTGGGAACTTGGGGTTTCCTCTCGAGTTACAACGGGGATGTTTTTAAATACTCGTGTTTTCTCAGAGACGTCAGGACGCCTGTCAAGTTTCCAGGGACAGTTTTTATTCCTGTCAGTTTATATATTTCTGTGAGGTGCTTTTCAGTTTTCAGGGATAATAATTGTTATTCTGAAAAAGACTGTGAGTGAATTTTAAACTTGCCTAGATGCCAGTTTTAAGAAGACTCTGAGCAAAGCAGACTGGCAGTGAACAGGTTGCAGTTAAGTGGGAATTAAGAGAGAAGAACAAATAATTAACTGATATATTATCCTGTTCTGGCAGAACCAGAACCATCCACTTAGATAAGAGTCTAGACTCTGCTCTCCCATCTAGAATGTCTTGATGGGAAGGAAGGGGTTTATAAATAATGAGATCAGGTTGCCTTTTGGGTTTACCAATCCCTGTTCTACTACTGTTTACCCAGGGAAATCTAAAAAATTACAGTTTTGATGACTCTTACCTCTTACACTTTTCTTTTATATTCAACCCCTCATGTAAGAGAAGGAATTGGCTCTGCGAGTAAGAGATGAGACTGGTGTGATTGCGGCACTAAGTCTCAGCTACATTCTCCTGGTGAACCACAATCATTTGGGAAAATTTATTTAAATAATTTACAAGCCTAGGCTGTTCCCTGAAGATTTTGACTGAGTAAATCAAGGAACACTTGGACGTGTGTGTTTAGAACTATTCCCTTGAGATTCTGATCCAGCCCTTGATGAATAACTATGGAGTGAACACATCTAATTTCTAAATGCACCCTTCACAAAAGAAAGTAGTCTCTAGAAGCGTTGGAGTTTGATCAGTGCTAGCTACTTCCATCAGCTCCCTCCTTTCCAACAACATTAGCCTGACTTTTTCTCTGCCCCTGTGTTTGAGACATTAAAATGAGTACCTTTGGCAATATCTATGGGCTGGAACGATAACTCCGTTTCCTTCCAACCAGTCATCATTCAGTGACATTCCGAGAGTCTTTAGAGATTTTCTCATGACGAAGTCACGTCATCTGTAGAGTCTGACCCTTTAAGGATTTTACACCTTCTCTTATCATCCAGGTCATTAGGTCAACAGATGTTTGTTACCAACAGGGTTTTCCTGACTGCAGTAATAGTAACTCAATGAGCCTTTTTTTGGTGTCAGCTGCAGGACAGACTCTTGCAGTGTGTCTGTTAGAATTGCTGATCCCTGACATAAGCAGAGGAGAGCTTTAAAATCCGTAAAGTTAGTAACAGTAGAGAGGGGAGTTGTTTTAAGCATTTATTTTCAGCAGGCTTAGGAAGTCATTATACATTTGATTAACAATATAGAAGAATTCTAGAGATAGCTTGTAGTTTCAACAGGCAGTGGAAACATTCTTGACTGTGATTTAGGAGTCTTTTTAAAAGAATTAATGTTAAATTGAATTATGAGTCTCAATAGGCTTATTTACTACATATTGGGACCCACTTTTTGTGAAACATATGATACTAAAGAAAGGAAAGGTTTCACAAACAAATATTTGCTTTATATCCACCTGTTTGGAAACAGCAAACATAAAACCAAAAGTGGGCAATAGACCAAATATGGCCCTTGGGTATGTTTAGTTTACCTCCACACATTGAGTCAACATTTCAAATTGACGAGGCTCATGCAGAAGTTCAGGCTTCTCCAAGGAGCAAATCTGGGCCCCCTTGAGCCCATCGTACTGTTTGGTCTGCATGCAGAGGCTACCCCTTCTGTATGGGACATGTGTTTTGGAGGTTACCGGTCTCACCTGGCTTTTTCACTTACTCAGGTCATCAGCTTTCTATCCATAAGCATTTGAGTTTCCAGTTTTTGATTGATAGTTTATTTTGATAAATATTTGAAGGTTTTTTAAGACAGTCTAATCTATAATTGATTTCATATTTTAAAAAATTTATTAAGAACGGAATTGAATTTTTCAAATTAGAATTTTTAAGTTCATTGTGGTGGTTTCGCACTCAATAACTCTCACAACCACACCAGATTATAAGAGACAGTGCAGGGAGAGCTCATGGAGGAGCAGCTCCTGGAGAAAATGCTGGGCGTGTATTTATTGGTAATTTTATGTTGCAATCTTTAACTAAGAGCATGAAAGCGAGAGAGACGCCAGAACTCTGGGGTTTTGGAAGCTTCCTCCTGGTGGTCTGGAGGTAATCACATGAGCGTCATCAAGAAGGGTCTTTGAAGATAAGGTGAGGAGGGCGCTCATTCTGCATGAAGTTAGCATCTAGCTAATGCTGACCTGTCACCCAGAACGTCTGACTTAAGGAAGGGCAGTGGAAAGAGCAAGCAAGGAAGAGAGAATGAGTAAGATTAAATTCCATGTGACATTTCTGAGAAAGCAGTAAAACAGGGTTCCCACAGTTGATTTTTTGAAAAAAAGAAAAAAAGTTTCTCTCTTTACATGTTCATGTAGAGAATAGTATTCCCATTGGCAAGTCTGAAAACCTTTTGAGTTTACTCATGGTCATCCTTGGATGGGTTATGCATGCTACAGATAGTATTATATATTCCTGCCTCAGCATTGTTACTAAAATATGCAGTTGATACAGTAGCTAAATGATACCAGCACCCCCTGCATTGGGAGCTTGACTCTTAGACACTGGACCACCAGGGAAGGCCCAGAGGAGGAGCATGTTAAAGAAAAGGAAGGTGCACAGGGCGATGAGGAGGAGGGGGCACTTTTTCATTTACTTTCTGCATTGTATTTTTAAGTTCCGAGAGCCTATTGCACGATTTTAATGTCAGCTTAGAAATAGGTTAACTGTGTACATTAGAAATGGTTTTCCGTTTTACAGGATGGCCTCACATCATTGTTACTTGCTGTACATGAAAGGAGAGGAGAAATGGTGGAGTTTTTAGTAGACAAAGAAGCAAGTCTACATGCGGTTGACAAGATGAAAAGGTACCATTGTTCTTTTTCTTTTTAAAACCCTCAGTACTGTTCTAGGATGGTAATATCAAGATTAAATGAATAAGAGGATTCATTTGTAATCAGCACATCATCACATAGGTAGAAAATCAATTATTCTGACTGGGAGTCATAAACAATATATAGCAGGAATGTATAGCAGGATTGATATTCCTTTATAATATTGACTGATGTCATATGCAACCTGTTTTTTGTTTGTTTGTTTTGCCAATCTTGGAATAGCTGAGGGATTTCAAATTAGTTTTATTGGCTTTATGAAATATGGATTCTGCTTTTTAGTTTACCTCATGGCAGTATCGAGTTTCTTAATTCTTTTAAAAGAATTCTTTAACCTCTACTTTATATGTATATACTTTTAAAAGATGGATAGTAAACCTAAAAGACTCGATTTTGTCTTTTGGATAACTCTTTGCTTTAAATTACTTTCTTTGAAGAATGCTGATGTTATTAGGTTGCAAAAGAGTCAGACACAACATAGCAACTAAATAACAACAGCCACAAAAAGGTGATTCTTACTCACTGTCACCAGATTCTGTGGGCTCATGAATTTTTATCCTTTCTCATTTTAGTACATTTTGATATTTTCATTTTTAATGCAGGTAGAAGGAAGAAAGATAGCTTTGATTGGATAAAGAGTTCCTTTAACAAAGCCAAGTCAGAGGTGGATGATACAGATGAAAATGATGGGCTTTAGATTCAGACTAGGTTCAATTCCTAGGTTTCCTACTGATTACGGTTATTTATCATCAGCAAATAAGTTTCCTGATATGCAAGACAAATTGTAGTGTATCTTTCAAAGGTGCCTGTGTGTGAGAAAGATTTTATATATAGTATTTCATTTTTATTGCCTAGCACATGCCTGTCCACATCATTAACTGCCACCATGACTATTTTTATTCTCATTATTATCAATATTTTTGATTTAAGCCTGCAAGTAGCCTTTTCTTAATCCAACCTCTAGCTGACTTTGAAGCCAAATATATCAGACTAAGGAGAAAATGGGGAATTCATCCCTTAAATAGTCACCTGCCTCAGATAAGTGACTTCAGCATCGTTTCCTGTCCACTAAGGACTTTATTATTCTTCTAAAAATACATTTATTTATTTATTTGGCTGCGTGGGGTCCTAGTTGTGGGAACTCTTAGTTGCAGCATATGGGATCAAGTTTCCTGACCAGGGATGGAAGCTGGGCCCCTTGCATTGGGAGCCTGGAGTCTTTCCCCTGGCCCACCAGGGAAGTCCCCATTAGGGACTTTTGAAATAGTAAGTGCTGCTACCTGGCATCCCAATGGGACAGGAGACTTCTTATCTGTCCCTTCATTTTAGCCTTGGAGGTGATTTACAAAGATGAACCCTTGAGCCTGTAAATGGTCAATTCTTCATGAATGGGCAAGGTGTTCACTTGTTAAAACATATCAAATTAACTGTTTAAGTAAATTAACTCAACTTCCTGAGGCTGAAGTCATCTCTCTGTTGTTTTAGAACAGCCCTCATGCTTGCTGTCAAGCGTGAATCACCAGAAATAGTCAGACTTCTTCTTCAGCAAGGTGTTGACATCTTTTCTCAAGATGTTTTTGGATGGACCACAGAAGAATATGCTGCTATTAGTGGTTTTAATATGTAAGTGTTCACATTAAAATGCCAGTTCTCACTAAACTACAGCCAAATATAATTTTAACTGTTACTTGTTATGTGACCAGTGAGAGCTCCAGTTTGGCGTAGGCAGTTTGGAGAATGGTGGTGAAATGTTCCCCCTCAAGAGCTGAAAGCCAAGCAAAGGCCGGTTAGTTTCTCTTGGCTGTGGGTTTGGGGTGCTTTATCTCAGGACATGTAGACCTTGATCCTTAGAAAGCTTGACATTAGCCATTTCATTCCAAGTGTGACCTCTCAGTATGGGGTATGAACAGTGTCACAGTTGTGATATTTCTAACTAGTTCTTTGGGTCTTGATGTATTTACTTCAGCAGCAAATCCTGTGTTTTCCCTTGAGGACTTTCCCCTCTGTACGCTTCCCCTTGAATTTTCCAAGACACTGACGATTCCCTAAGAGGAACGAGACAGTCCTCTTTCACAAGTCACTTGGAGGGGAGGAAATAGTGCTTTCCCATCACCCTGTTGCTTGCCTTGATTCTGCTGCTGCAGCACTGCTGCTCCAGCTGGTCTTGACGGGGTCTGCTTGGCAGCTGGATCTGGAGTCTGGATGTGGCTCTATAAAGACCTATAATAAAACATTTTAAAAGGAAAAACAAACTCATCCTGCAGTGGGCTCACGTTTGACCTTTGTTCACAGGCCGCCCCCGTGGGTCCAGGTCCCTAGCCTCTGAGGTGACTCACACGTCGACTTCAGAGTGAGAGCGCCTTTGTTCTCATAGGTAAGCTTGTCGCTCAGTCACAGTTGCAAACAGCACCAGCATCCCAGTTCTGGCAGCTGGGCCTCCTAGCTTCCCCCCTCACTCAGAGACCTTATGTGGAGCCCACGTGTAAGCCTAGATCTTCATGATTAGGTGCTGTTGAGGCTCTTATTTATCTTTTCTGCTAGCAGATGTCAATGGGGACCATTTTAGGCTGTCAGCGAGGGTCAAGTGCTCCTGCAGGGATTGAGCAGACTTCCCTTTTTCCTTTGTATCTAGACTTGAATCTCAAGGTGGCTCTCTGTCCTGTGGGGGGCACCTTTTCTCAGGTCACAGGTTCCCTGTCATCCTTCCCAGAGTAGTGGGTGCCAGCTTGCCTGAGATTCCCTAATTATGCTTGGCCCCTTATGGGATCTGTTTCCTGTAATAAAGAAAATCTTCCAACAGATTCCTATCCGCCTCCACCTTAGATGTTTTCAGAATCTGCCCCATAAGGAACTCATTCAGCAGAAATCCCTAAATCTCAGGTAAGATAGTTCAATTAATTAAGAATCTCAAGTAAGAATTCAGAGAGTTAAGCCCGGTCTAGAACTTGCCAGTATCCACTCTAAGAGTAGGGATATGTCTTCCAAGTGAATTGGAGAGGAACATGGAGATTAAACATCATTGTCGGAAAGATCTGCTGGCTCAGAGTTTGAGTAGGTAGAGAAGGAAGAGTAGTGGTCCAGGCCAGGTCTTGATTGTGATTAGTTTTCTGTTCATGGTGTGATTAGTTGCAGTAATAATGGGGGATAATTATGTTCTCTCATGTAGTGAGTTCATAAGTTATAAATAAATTTAGGTATACATTATATAAGAGCTGAGATTCCCTAATTATAGATCATGAAGAACAGCTAATCACCAGGATTAATAACAGCTTCATGCAGCACTTGAATGTTAAATATATGAAAAAACACACATTGGGTTTTACTTGGAATTACAAAGTAGTTCAAGCACAAATTATTCCATTCTTTGACTGTTTCTACACGCATTTTGGGGGTCTGTTATCTCATTAAATCCTCTTGGTCCTCTTGTGAAATCAGGCAGTAAGATCCAAGTTGTGTAGAGGAAGACTTTGAACTGAAGAGAAGCAACTCCTCCAGGAACAAAGAACAGTTGGTTATAGAGATAGGATTTTCTAGCTCGAGAGATTTTCTGTATGCCAAGCTAAATCTAGTTAATTATTGGAGCTGTACACGCCCCGAGTTCATGACTACTTCATCTTCCTTTTCTTTCTCCTTTCAGTTCAGTTCAGTCACTCAGTCGTGTCTGACTCTTTGGGACCCCAGGAACTGCAGCACACCAGGCCTCCCTGTCCATCATCAACTCCCATAGTTTACCCAAACTCATGTCCATTGGGTTGGTATGCCATCCAGCCATCTCATCCTCTGTCATCCCCTTCTCCTCCTGCCTTCAATCTTTCCCAACATCAGGCTCTTATCAAATGAGTCAGCTCTTCGCATCAGGTGGCCAAAATATTGGGGTTTCAGCTTCAACATCAGTCCTTCCAATGAACACCCTGGACTGATTTCCTCTAGGATGCAGTGGTTGGATCTTCTTGCAGTCCAAGGGACTCTCAAGAGTCTTCTCCAACACCATGGTTCAAAAACATCAATTCTTCGGTGCTCAGCTTTCTTTCTTTCTTTCTTTTTTCATTTATTTTTATTAGTTGGAGGCAAATTACTTTAAAATATTGTAGTGGTTTCTGCCATACATTGACATGAATCAGCCATGGATTTACATGTGTTCCCCATCCTCAACCCCCCTCCCACCTCCCTCCCCATCCCATCCCTCTGGGTCATCCCAGTGCACTAGCCTCGAGCACTTGTCTCATGCATCCAACCTGGACTGGCGATCTGTTTCACACTTGATAATATACATGTTTCGATGCTGTTCTTTACAGTCAAACTCTCACATCCATACATGACCATTGGAAAATCCATAGTCTTGACTAGACGGACCTTTGTTGGCAAAGTAATGTCTCTGCTTTTTAATATACTGTCTAGGTTGGTCATAACTTTCCTTGCAAGGAGTAAGCGTCTTTTAATTTCATGGCTGCAATCACCATCTGCAGTGATTTTGGAGCCCCCAAGAAAGCAAAGTCAGCCACTCTTTCCACTGTTTTCCCATCTATTTTCCATGAAGTCATGTGACCGGATGCCATGATCTTTGTTTTCTGAAAGTTGAGTTTTAAGCCAACTTTTTCACTCTCCTCTTTCACTTTCCTCAAGAGGCTCTTTGGTTCTTCCTCACTTTCTGCCATAAGGCTGGTGTCATCTGCATATCTGAGGTTATTGATATTTCTCCCAGCAATCTTGATTCCAGCTGTGCTCCATCCAGCCCAGCCTTTCTCATGATGTACTCTGCATAGAGCTTAAATAAACAGGGTGACAATATACCTTTACTTTCTCCTTTACTACATGCTAAATGAAAGAGTATAGATCTTAGAAACTTGAAATGTATGGGACAATTGAAGTTTTGATATTATCTCTGACATTGTCTGAAATGTTCTAAGAATTTGGTAGTTTTTCATATCAGTGTTAAAATATTACTTATCACATTTTTAATACATAGCTTTCGCTAACTGGTTCTGAATATAAAGAAAAGAGACCTAAAATTTCTCCTGAAAAGAGCAACCCAGGTACGTCATATGATACCAAATTACTTTTGGTGATTCTACCATAGATAAAGTAGGAGTGAAGAAGTTTCAATAATGAAAGAACTATGAAAAATTAGCATAAATTGCATGTGTATTTTATTTTTTAAATTAATTTCCTAATACTCTAGTATTCAGAAGTGATTAAGAAGTTAATTGTAGGTGATTTAACATCAAAGACAGTATTGTCTGAAAAGAAATCCATCTATTTAATATGGCCCCTAAAGTTCTATGCTAGATCTTTGTGTAAATCAGAAAAAAAAAATTAAGTGAGTATGATGTATATTTCACCTATAGTCATATTATAGCAGATTGGACTTCTTATGAAAGTGAACTTTCATTTATAGAAATGGTTTGCATTTAGTGAATGAATAGTTAGTAGTTACTGTGTAGTGATTAGTCTCACTAAAATAGTTACCATCATTAAAACTGGGAACCTGAATAATCCCTTCCTGTTAGGATAAGAAATGATAAACAATAAGAACTGCAAAGCTGAGCCAGTGTGCAGCATAGTAGTGAGAGATTATTTCTGAAAGATACTTACCAATAGTACCGAAGGCCAAAAAGCAATGCCTAGTTGAGAACCAGTTATTTTGCCTATTTTTGTACCAAGCAGGTGTAGCTTACCAACTTCATTCCTTACAGATCCAAAGAGAGTGAGATAGATTGACTTCATTAGGACCAGATGTTTTCTTTTATGTGTTGGCCAATTGTCATGACAGTATAGTTTTGTAAGAACAAGATGCTCTCTTGCCATCAGTTAAAAAATTATCATAATAGATCTCCAAATAGATGGACTTGGGACTCTGCAGGTTCTAATAAAAGCACAGAAATACTTTGCATTAACAAAAACAGCATTAGGTCCACTGGATGTGGCATCTAGCACATTGTACAGGGTATCTGAGGATACCTTTGACTGAGTAGACCTCTATCTAATCAAATGGGTCTTCCCAGGTGGCTCAGTAGTAAAGAATCCACCCGCCAATGCAGGAGATATGGTTTGATTCCTGTGTCCGGAAGATCCCATGGAGAAGGAAATGGCAATGCACTCCAGTACGCCTGCCTGGGAAATTCCATATACAGAAGGGCCTGGTGAGCTGTAGTCCATGGGGTCACAAGAGTCAGACAGGACTTGGTGACTGAACAACAAAAACATCTATCAAAGAACTGTAGGTTGGTTTAATACATTAGTCAGAGGAGATACAGAGATGAGAGTGTCTTGGTCTTCAGTACTCTCAGAATAGAATAGAGTTTTCTCTGGTTAATTTCTGTATTTTCCTTTTTTTCTTTAATTTCTGTATTTTTCTAAACAAAATTTTCAAAGAAAACATGCTTATTTATTTGCTCATTTGTTCACTAAAAAGATAATTTTCAAGTGTCTTTTGTGTACTAAGCATTGTTCTGATGTCACAGAGTGAAAACAGTTAAAATTCACTGCCCCTGCTCTCCAGGCTCAAGCTTGCAGTGCTCCTCTCCCCGTGGAGTCGCTGCATGTGAGTCATCCCTCCAGCATCAGATCATGACGACCCCTGGGAAACGTTGTTTAGCAGAACCAGAGTCCGTGGCTCCCTCCCTTCTTCCCTCCCTCCCCTTGTTCATCAGCTTAGGATGTGATGACGTATGCCTTCCAAGCTGAAAAAGCATGATTTCTATAAACATTTACCATATAATGGGAAGGATTGATATAATGATAGCCCTCACTAGTACACAGCACTCTTTGGGCCATCCTGCTCTATGTGGTGCAGATACTCTTGAGCAATGGAAGGAGACAGTCTCAAGAGATTCTTTTTAGACATATTAGTGTCTGTGTGTGTGTGTCTTGTGTGTGTATGTGTGTGTGTGTGTGTGTGTATATATATGGAACTTTTTTAAAAAGCTCAGCTTCTGTGTAACCTACTGCAATCTCAGCACTACAAGTCTACAAGAAGAGTCCCCACTCTCAGCACCGAGTTGATCCCCGTTACTCGTTTGCCCTCCTCCACCTCCCTTTCAAGAGATTATCCTTTCTAAGCCTGGAATGACTACTTCTTTCATACTTCTCTTGCCTTTGGAAAGAGGGCCAGGAAGAGAAGACTTTGCTTCCTATGCTTTATCACACTCTGGAGTTCAGTGCCTGTGGACCAAGCTTCCCTGTGATAGGGTGTTTTCATTCTGAACTGAAGAGCCAGAGGAGTTGTCATCTCCCAGCAAGACACCTATAGTCTCTGTTCAGTGCTCCAGGCAATGGAAGTCCAGAAATACTGTGCTATTTAAGTGTGCTATTGTCAGCTTATAGTACTGATTCTATTAATGGTATAGTATCATGGTCTGTCAGTCTCCTAGAGTTTGGTTAGGATTATGGTCATTGTAAAGAGCAGTTCTTTCTTTGCTTCTTTGTTTTGCATGTGATGACTATAAAGGGGAGGAGTGGTTCTTAGGCATTCTTAGATGAGCCTATGAGAATGGTACAACCGCTGTTCTCTTCCTCTAGTGTGGCCTCCAGGTGTGGATTGAAAGGAATACTTTTAAACAAAGCATCAGTCTTGAGGTGTTCATATTCTGTATTTTTCTTCTGTTGATTTAAAATGTGTCTTGATTTTTCTTTAATAGCGGATGAGAGTCCTGAAGAGGACTCTTCAAGCAGGTAGGATTTTATGGATGTTTTAAATTATATGTTTAACTAAGGGAACATGGAATAAGAGAAACTAATGTTTGTTGAGTGTTCTACTCTGGGTTAGACACTGCATTACGTGCTTAACATTTGTGACCTCATAGAGTCAGCACAGCAGCTTCGTAAAGTAGCTGTGTCCTACTTTTACTTAATTAGGCAACTGTGGTTTCAGGAGGTTAATGAATTGACCCTGGTTAAAATGAGTTGACCTGTGATTTGACAGCTGGCCTTCTTGGCTCCCACGTCCACTCCCATGGCCCTCAGCAGAGACTGAGAAGTACCCGTGTAGCATATAAGTTAAAGATGTAAATTAGTCCTTTGACTTGTGTACATTTTAAGTTTTGACATTGTGGTTAAACTCCCTGTACTCCCTCTTAGAGTAAAGGAGAGAAGTGGTGCCATCTCAATGAGTGGCACCCTGCTGATGGACCAAGACTCCCCTTTTGGACCAACTCAGATTTGTCTCTGAGCCTTGAACAGACAATGGAGAAGGCAAAGCCTATTCTTCCGCTTTGTTTTAAGACATCAGGTTTATTCCAGTTTGGGCAAGCAAGAATAATTTTAGTCCATCAATTGGATTTTCAGTTCAGCTATTAGAACTTTTGGTGAAAACAAATTATTTTTAGGCTCTGCCGATATATTTGCTGTCATTCTCTTTTATAGAAACTAAGAATGATTGTTAACTAGATATTTCATAGATTGGGAGACAAGGAAGCAGAAATAGGTAATGAAAAACATTATTGGAGACTTCCCTGGGGGTGCAGTGGTTAAGATGGTTACTAAGACATCTTTCATTGCAGGCAGTGTGGGTTCGATTCTCAGTCAGGGAAGCTAAGATCTCACATGCCTCGGGGTCAGACAGCCAAATGATAAAATAGAAGCAAAATTGGCACTAATTCAGTAAAGACTTTAAAAGTGGTCCACATCAAAAAATCTTTAAAAAATTTTTAAAAAAGCTGTTTTAAAACAGGCCAAATTTTATTCATGTCAAGAAAGTTTATTTAATATATAGAGAGACTTTCACTTGTTTTTTTTTTTCTTTTTTCTTTTGTTCAAGGAAATGAGCTCACTCATTTTTATTGTATGTTTCTGATTTAAAGGTTTCCCAATGAACCTGGCGTTGATTTAGGGCCTACATCAAACAATGAAGTCTTAGATTTTAAAACCAAGGTAAAGTGTTCTGTTGTGAAATTTGTGTTCATGCTCTGAATTTAGTTTCATGTAGTATTTACTCTTATTATTAGACACTGCAAGTGACAAATAGATTCAAGAGATCAGATCTGATAAACAGAGTGCCTGAAGAACTATGGATGGAGATTCATGACATTGTACAGGAAGCAGTGATCAAGACCATCTTGGAGAGAAAGAAATGCAAAATGGCAAAATGGTGTCTGAGGAGGCCTTCCAAATAACTGAGAAAAGAAGAGAAGCAAAAGGCAAAGGAGAAAAGGAAAGATATACCCATTTGAATGCAGAGTTCCAAAGAATAGCAAGGAGAGATAAGAAAGCCTTTCTCAGGGATGAATGCAAAGAAATAGAGGAAACAATGGAATGGGAAAGACTAGACATCTCTTCAAGAAAATTAGAGATACCATGGGAACGTTTCATGCAAAGATGGGCACCATAAAGGACAAAATGGTATGGACCTAACAGAAGTGGAATACATTAAGATGAGGTGTATAAGAATACACAGAACTCTACAAAAAAGGTCTTCATGACCCAGATAACCAGGATGGTGTGATTACTCACCTAGAGCCAAACATTCTGGAATGTGAAGTCAAGTGGGCCTTAGGAAGCATCACTACGAACAAAGCTAGTGGAGGTGATGGAATTGGAGTTGAGCTATTTGAAATCCTAAAAGATGATGCTGTGAAAGTGCTGTACTCAATATGCCAGCAAATCTGAAAATTCAGCAGTGGCCACGGGACTGGAAAAGTTCAGTTTTCCTTCCAATCCCAAAGAAAGGCAATGCCAAAGAATGTTCAAACTACCACATAATTGCCCTCATCTCACACGCTAGGAAAGTAATGCTCAAAATTCTCCAAGCCAGGCTTCAAGATTACATGAACCATGAACTTCATATCTTCAAGCTGGATTTAGAAAAGGCAGAGGAACCAGAGATCAAATTGTCAACATCCTCTGGATCATAAAAAAAACAAGTGAGTTCCAGAAATGCATCTACTTATTCTTTATTGATTGTGCCAAATCATTTGACTCTGTGGATCACAACAAAGTGTAGAAAATTCTTCAAGTGATGGGAATACCAGACCACCTGACCTGCCTCCTAAGAAATCTGTATGCAGGACAAGAAGCAACAGTTAGAACTGGATATGGAACTGTAGACTGGTTCCAAATCGGGAAAGGAGTACATCAAGGATGTAAATTGCCACCATGCTTATTTAACTTACATGCAGAGTACATCATAAAATGCTGGGTTGGATGAAGCACAAGCTGGAATCAAGATAGCCAGAAAAAATATCAATAACCTCAGATACGCAGAAGACACCACAATGATGGCAGAAATTAAAGAACTAAAGAGCCTCTTGATGAAAGTGAAAGAGGAGAGTGAAAATGTTGATTTAGGACTCAACATTCAGAAAGCTGAAACTCCAATACTTTGGCCATCCAATGTGAAGAACTGACTCATTGGAAAATGCTAATTCTGGGAAAGTTTGAAGGCGGGAGGAGAAGGAGACGGCAGAGGATGAGATGGTTGGATGGCAGCACCGACTCAATGGACAGGAGTTTGTAAAACCTCCGGGAATTGGTGATGGACAGGGAAGCCTGGTGTGCTGCTGTCCATGGAATTACAAAGAGTTGCACACAGCTGAGCAACTGACCTGAACTGATGTTGATATCTTCATAAAATTTGAAGAACAGTGTAGATGCTGTTAGATCAGTAATATATATAAATTCTAAATATATGTGTTTCTCCACATACCTTATTATACTTATTTTTTCCCCCGTGAAGTTTGTTCTTGACTAAGAATGTCTCACCTTTTCTTTTCTTCTTTCTCCTCTACCTTTTTAATTTCTTCTTTAAAATATTTACTGTTAACTTAGTTTTCCCTCACAGAGCAAATTTCTTCAGTGTCTGTTCTTTCAGTCCATCTCTCTCTTCCCCTATTGTGCACATGTTTGCTTATGGCTGTCTATTTGGAGTGTTTGTGGCTTTCATTCATCATCATTGTCCTACGGGTTTAACCTTGCTCTTTCATAGAAGCAGCTGATTTTTTCCCCCTGTTTTACATCTCTAGCTGTTTGACAAACAGAATAGAAGTAGCTTATCCTGTTTGCAGTTCTAGCCCATCTAAATAAGGTTCTGCTAAAACCTAAACTTTCATATTTCCCTTCCCAAGTGATAATTCATGTGTATATTAATCATGAAAGCAGATTTCAAAATATAGTAATTAATTTAAATGTCTTAGTTTCTCAATAGTGCTCTGAACTCCTGGGGATAAATTATTACTCTCGAACATCTTGGTAGAGAAAGTAATCTAGTGGGTGTCATCGTATTTATATAGCTGTCATTTAGGGGTAAGGAGAGGAACATCCAGGGCTTCTGATGTCATCTGTCATAATCCTTTCCCCATGAGCAGGTCAGTCAGTGGCAGAACTGGGATTTGAATCCACATCTGAATGACTCCAGAGCCTGTGCTCTTTGTGTTAGATCATAGAGGAGTGGAGGATGTTATAAATTTATTCAGGTTGATACTTGTTATATTCTTCAAGCTCTTGTTTTCTTCTCCAGCATGTCGTGAAACCAAAGTTAACAAAGCTCATGAAGCCTTCTCAGCAGTCCGACAGGAACAGTAAGTTATTCGAAGACTGTCCTTCTGGTGTTATTCCCTGATTTGAAATAACACATGTTCTCATATACTCTCTCCTGTTTTCACTGTAGTGGAAGCAAAGTGTGGCATTTTGAGACCAGAGAGTACCACTTTCTCTGAGGACAATAATTCTGATAGTAACATTGAAGATGTGGTTGAAACATTTCCCAAACCATCACCCTGGTTTGAGGGCATCTGTCAGCCTGCCTTCCCATCACCTGAGCCTGTTCCAAAACTTCTCAAGTCTGTAGCAGGCCTTGGTCCTGCAAAGGTAAGTGGTTCTGTTTGTAACTCTTCTTTCCCTGTACTTGTTTACATACCATTCCCCTGATCCTTATGAAGACAGAAAGAATCCCACCAGAGAAATAGAAGCCCTCAAAGTCACAATATGAAATGGTGTGATAATAAGAGCCATACATGTGCATGATTCAGATTTATAAATATTGGCATACTAAGTATACTATTATGAAAGTACTGAATTACAAAGCACTTAGGAAAAACAACTAGATGAATATGAAGATGGGGAGGAGGATGAAGGGGAAGAATTCCTTTAAGAAGGACAAGATGAATATAAGATGGAATGAGGGTGAAGATGAGACAGATTATTTTACCCACAGAACAGAAAAAGTGGGGGTAAGTCAGACCAGGAACTCTATGTTATAATTCTGTGAGACATTATTTCAAATTCAACGTAAGAAGAGAAAGTGAGGTCATGAAAAAACAATGCTTATACTCTTTTGAATGGCATATAGCTGATTTTTATGAAGAACTGAAAGAAAATGTGTTCCTTATTGTTTTTGGTGGTTGTTTTCGAGGTTGGTGGTGGTTCTTGCTTTTTCGTTCAATTGAAGTGTAGTCAGTTTAAAATACCGTGTAAGTTTCAGGTGTACAGTAATGTGATTTGTTTATACTTGTGTATGTACATATGTTTTTTGAATATAGTTCCCTCTGGAAGTCCATTTAAATTTGAAGTGATTTCTCTTTAAAAATTTCTCTTTTAAAAATCTCACTTTGAAATTAATGAAGCAATGTCTTCTATTTAACCTAGCAAAACTTTTGTTTAGCGACAATTCAAGATGAGCCCTGTTTTAGGCCTTAGGAGATGTATTATGAGTTAAGAATTTTTGGCCCTTCTGTTTCTTGTGGTTTCTAACTTCAGTTCAGTTCAGTCGCTCATTCGTGTCTGACACTATATACTTAAATTTACTCACCTAATTTATCTTAAACTGTTTGCTATAACCTTGGTGGGTGTTTTAGATCTTTCTGAAAATAAAGAGGAAATAAAGAAGCATTCTATCTATCCTTTTTACTAAAATTATAATTTATAATTTTATAAATGAGATTCTTAATCTCTTTTCATTAAATGAGAAAATTTTCAGCTGCAACAATTTGAAAGAAAAACTGGAACTATATTTTTTCCTCTGGAGAAATTCTGATTTCTTTTTCTGAATGTCAGCAAATAATGGGTAATTACATACATTAAGTGAATGAAATCACTACTTATGCTTTTTTCTTATTTAGACTACTTGTTATTATAAAATCATAAGGAAAGAAAAAATACCACCAGAGTTTATAAAATTATCTATGGAAGATATTTTTTCTTTATTTATCTTTTATTTTAATTGGAGGCTAATTATAGTATCGTAGTGGTCTTGCCATACGTTGACATGGATCAGCCATGGATGTACAATGTGTTCCCCATCCTCAACCCCCCACCCACCTCCCTCCCCATCCCATCCCTCAGGGTCATCCCAGTGCACCAGCCCTGAGCACCCTGTCTCATGCATCAAACCTGGACTGGCAATCGGTTTCACATATGATAATATATATATTTCAATGCTATTCTCTCAAATCATCCCACCCTCGCCTTCTCCCATAGAATCCAAAAGACTGTTCTATACATCTCTGTCTCTTTTTCTGTCTCACATATAGGGTCATCATTACCATCTTTCTAAATTCCCTATATATGTGTTAATATACTGAATTGGTGTTTTTTTCTTTCTGACTTACTTCACTCTGTATAATGGGCTCCAGTTTCATCCACGGCATTAGAACTGATTCAAATGCATTCTCTTTAATGGCTGTGTAATATTCCATTGTGTATATGTACCACAGCTTTCTTATCCATTTGTCTGCTGATGGACATCTAGGTTGCTTCCACGTCCTGGCTATTGTAAACAATGCTGTGATGAACACTGAGGTATATGTGTCTCTTTCACTTCTGGTTTCCTCAGTGTGTATGCCCAGGAGTGGGATTGCTGGGTCATATGGCAGTTCTATTTCCAGATTTTTAAGGAATCTCCATACTTTTCTCCATAGTGGCTGTACTAGTTTGCATTCCCACCAACAGTGTAAGAAGGCTCCCTTTTCTCCACACTCTCTCCAGCATTTACTGTTTGCAGCCATTCTGACTGGAGTAAGATGGTATCTCATTGTGGTTTTGATTTGTGTTTCTCTGATAATGAGTGATGTTGAGCATCTTTTCACGTGTTTGTTAGCCATCTGTATGTCTTCTTTGGAGAAATCTCTGTTTATTTCTTTGGCCCATTTTCTGATTGGGTCGTTTATTTTTCTGGAATTGAGCTGCAAGAGCTGCTTGTATATTTCCGAGATTAATTCTTTCTCAGCTGCTTCATTCGCTATCATTTTCTCCCATTCCGAAGGCTGTCTTTTCACCTTGCTTATAGTTTCCTTTGTTGTGCAGGAGCTTTTAAGTTTAATTAGGTCCCATTTGTTTATTTTTGCTTTTATTTTCATTACTCAGGGAGGTGGGTCATAGAGGAACCTGCTATGATTTATGTCGGAGAGTGTTTTGCCTATATTTTCCTCTAGGAGTTTTACAGTTTCTGGTCTTACATTTAGATCTTGAAGCCATTTTGAGTTTATTTATGTGTATTGTTAGGAAGTGTTGTAGTTTCATTCTTTTACAAGTGATTGACCAGTTTTCCCAGCAGCACTTTTTAAAGAGATTGTCTTTTCTCCATTGTATATTCTTGCCTCCTTTGTCATTGATAAGGTGTCCATAGGTGCATGGATTTACCTCTGGGCTTTCTATTTTGTTCCATTGATCTATTCTGTCTTTGTGCCAGTACCATACTGTCTTGATGACTGTAGCTTTGTAGTATAGCCTGAAGTCAGGCAGGTTGACTCCTCCAGTTCCATTCTTCTTTCTCAAGATTGCTTTGTCTATTCGAGGTTTCTTGTATTTGCATACCAGTTGTGATATTATTGTTCTAGTTCTGTGAAAAATACTGTTGGTAGCTTGATAGGGATTGCATTGAATCGATAGATTGCTTTGGATCGTATGCTCATTTTCACTATATTGATTCTTCAAGTCCATGAACAAGGTATATTTCTCCATCTATTTGTGCACTCTTTGATTTTTTTCAACACTGTTTCATAGTTTTCCATAGATAGGTTTTTGTTTCTTTAGGTAGGTATATTGCTAAGTATTTTATTCTTTTCATTGCAATGGTGAATGGAATTGTTTTCTTAATTTCTTTTTCTCTTTTCTCATTGTTAGTGTATAGGAATGCAAGGGATTTCTTTTTTTTTTCCTTCCCCAATTATTTTTATTATTTGGAGGCTACTTACTTTACAATATTGTAGTATATTTTTTTTTTTTTTGCCATACTTTGACATGAATCAGCCATGGATTTACATGTGTTCCCCATCCTGAACCTACCTCCCACCTCCCTTCCCATCCCATCCTTCTGGGTCATCCCAGTGCACCAACCCAAGCACTTGTCTCATGCATCCAACCTGGACTGGCAATCTGTTTCACACTTGATAATATACATGTTTTGATGCTGTTTTCTCAGATCATCCCCTCGCCTTCTCCCATAGAGACCAAAAGTCTGTTCTATACATCTGTGTCTCTTTTTCTGTCTTGCATATAGGGTTATCATTACCATAATTCTAAATTCCATATATATGTGTTAGTATACTGTATTGGTGTTTTTCTTTCTGGCTCACTTCACTCTGTATAATGGGCTCCAGTTTCATCCACCTTATTAGAACTGATTCAAATGCATTCCTTTTCATGGCTGAGTAATATTCTATTGTGTATATATACCAGAGCTTTCTTATCCATTCGTCTGCTGATGGGCATCTAGGTTGCTTCCATGTCCTGGCTATTATAAACAATGCTGTGATGAACATTGGGGTACACGTGTCTCTTTCACTTCTGGTTTCCTTGGTGTGTATGCTCAGGAGTGGGATTGCTGGGTCATATGGCAGTTCTATTTCCAGATTTTTAAGGAATCTCCACACTGTTCTCCATACTGGCTGTACTGGTTTGCATGCCCACCAACAGTGTAAGAGGGCTCCCTTTTCTCCACACCTTCTCTAGCACTTATTGCTTGCAGAGTTTTGGATAGCAGCCATTCTGACTGACCTGTAATGGTACCTCATTGAGGTTTTGATTTGCATTTCTCTGATAATGAATGATATTGAGCATCTTTTCATGTGTTTGTTAGCCTTCTGTATCTCTTCTTTGGAGAAATAACTGTTTAGATCTTTGGCCCATTTATTGTTTGTGTCATTTATTTTTCTGGAATTGAGCTGCAGGTGTTGCTTGTATATTTTTGAGATTACTCCTTTGTCTGTTTCTTCATTTGCTATTATTTTCTCCCATTCTGAAGCCTGTCTTTTCACCTTGCTTATAGTTTCCTTTGTTGTGCAAAAACTTTTCTTTTCCATTTATTTTTATGAGTTGGAGGCTAATTACTTTACAGTATTGTACTGGTTTTTGCCATACATTGTCATGAATCCGCCATGGATTGACATGTATTCCCCATTCCAATCCCCTCTCCCACCTCCCTCTTCACTGTGGAATATTACTCAGCCATTAAAAAGTATTCATTTGAATCAGTTCTAATGAGATGGATGAAACTGGAGCCCATTATACAGAGTGAAGTAAGCCAGAAAGATAAAGACCAATACAGTGTACTAACGCATATATATAGAATTTAGCAAGATGGTAACAATAACTCTATATGCAAAACAGAAAAAGAGATACAGATGTGCAAAAGCTTTTAAGTTTAATTAGGTCCCATTTGTTTATTTTTGCTTTCAGTTCCAATATTCTGGGAAGTGGGTCATAGAGGATCTTGCTGTGATTTATGTTGGAGAGTGTTTTGCCTATATTTTCCTCTAGGAAGTTTTGTAGTTTCTGGTCTTACGTTTAGATCTTGAAGCCACTTTGAGTTTATTTTTGTGTATTGTTAGGAAGTGTTGTAGTTTCATTCTTTTACAAGTGATTGACCAGTT